TTTTTAAATCAAACTTTTTGATAAAAATCATGTTTTTAAAAAAATGATTAATAAGTATATAAAAGATAACAAGTATTTAAAAAAAAAGTGTTGAGCACTAAATATACTTTAAAATTCAAAATAAGTCAGGAACTACAATGCAAATACAGTGAATAGTAAAATATTTACAGATAACGCTTGTGGATAGGTGGATACTTTGTCAAAAATATCTTTGTTATACTATTAAAAAACCGCACTATGTATAATAATAATAAAAAGAATATGAAATTAACTATCTCGTAAAATCGACTTGCATTTTTTAAAACTAGAGCTTATTTCAGGTAGATTGCAGGAAAAGTATAGCCAGTTAGTAACAATAGGTTCCAAACTTTAGAAAAATAAAGTACCTACCTGAGACTTTTTTTTCCATTGATAACAAGAAAAATAAGATAATCGTAGTTATTTCATTCTTTTTTTTTGATTAGTAAACCATTTTCAAAACTTGGCAATAGTTTTCCTTTTAAGTAAACTTAAATTTAAAAAAAAATGCATGTTAATTAGAGTTTCTGTTTGGAAAGTTTTATTAACTGCAGTTTTATGGATACAGGCAGCACCTTTGGTACTTTAAACTTCATGTGCAAATAATTAAATACATTTTAGAATTGCACGTTTGAAGTGCAAATTTTGTTTAACTAAAATATAGTAAGATTAGAAATTTTACATTATATTCTAGGTTCTACAGTTACGATTTGGTGCAGATCACAGAGTTCAAGAAACTCGCAAACTATTAGATTCTTCTAAACCTATTAAAATATGCGTAATGCAACGTCCGGACATAAGTGATCACGAGTTAATTGAAGAACAAGAAAAGTTTCTGCTTGCTCTCTGTACTAGAACCATGGCACTTTCTATAGGAAGAGGAATGTTTACTCTGAGAACTTCAAAACCAATCAATACGGAACAACTACCGATACCAGAACTATGTCTTAGTGGTAAGACCTTACATAAATTATCTTAAATTATACCAAAAACCAGGTGTGAATCTTGGGACCTCTGGCAGAAGTGAAAGTTTCAACTAAAATTTTTTTTTAAACTCGGCTTAACAAAAACTGAGAAAATTTAATTACGTCTAACTTCATAGGTCTTCAATAATCCAATATTAAAATAGTAAAAATTGTATTATTCTTACAAATTCGAGCACGCGCTTGCACGAAATACATACACGTACTACTTGTGTTACATATGATTCATGCATTCGAACTACTTACATGTTAATGTGAATTAATACGTGTACTAATTGTTGGTCATGTAATGCAGAACGAAACAAAAAATTTCACCATACTGCCTCGAAAAAAGGTAATTACTATTTGTGCATTTGATATGACATCATACATGGACAATCAATTCTTGTCGGAAGCATTGCATTTAATTCTGGTGACCATAAAATCAAAATAATCCACTTAATCTGATTGAGATTGAGGAAAACAATCGATTTATAGCTATTTTTGGTTGTAAAGTTACAATTTCTCCTTTGATTCGTTTTCTATGATTATTTATAATCTAATATTAAAATTTACCCATGCTTATAAGTAGTATCTACTAATCTCTAAATTAATAATATGAATATAGGTTATGGTTACGTGACAATTATTTTTATAATATATGATAGAAAATAGAAAAAAAATCTATTTATAGCTAAGATATGTTGGATAAAGCTTTGCCTTTGAGATGACTTATTATGTTTAAAATCATAACAATCATTTATATGAATCCGTGTAACATATATTTGCACCTCAATAATTATACCTCAATCAGGTTGAGCAAGCGCATCGGTTAGTCGTAGTTAGCTTGGGCCGCAGGATGGGTGGCTACGTTTTTTCGTAACGCATCTTCCCTCATGCGGCTGTTCAGGGCCCAACATAAGAAGTTTCACTTCAAAAATAGAAGTATTGAGATACTTAACAAAAGTACTCTTAGTTTTTCACAGTGATGTCCAAGATTATATTACCATCGTCTTTTCTTTACTTTTTAATGCTTTAACTAAAACAACTTTTTCATACATCCTTCACTATCAGTTTAATAGTATGTAGATTTATACGTATCGACTTACCAAGATTGCATAGAATTTAAGTTTAGAATCAATGTGACTTACTTTTTAATGTGACTTTACATTTATAAATCTTATTTTTTTATGTATACACTGTTTCGTAATCGAGTAAAGTATTAAGTTAAATTTAAACAAGCCAATCTGCTTTGTTGTATAGGTATATAATTTGTCAGTGATATAAAATAAAAAGTCATATCTACTAATACCAACAATTTTATTTTTTTTCTTCGTCGTAGAACGGTATCTGATTCATAATTGAGCTGACCAAGATAAAAAATTTTTTTTNTATTAGATATAAATGTACATTCATTTGTCTCAAAAAATTTTTCTTTTTATTTAAAATAATTGTCCTTGTTAATGAAATACGTACTTATTAAAAGTTGATAAATAGTTAGTAATGTTAAATAACATTTTCTTTTCATTTCACAAATATTTATTTACAATCTGAAATGTTTATTTGAAACGAATAAAGATTCACTGTACTTTAAAAAATATTCATTCAGCATTAGCAAATTTTTTTCATTTTAGCCACAAGCGTTTTCGATTGGAATATGTATTTATAAGTCAAAATTACATTGTTTTCTAGTTCTAAGTAAATTTACATATTGATTTTTAAAAACACTATTGCAGAATTAATAAATATGTATTAAATTAAATTAAATTGAATAACTTTTTTTATAGTTAATAAACATTTATGTAACAATATTTAATGTGTTTTAATAACTACTAAATATTCTTTAAATTTTAATGAATATTCACACAAATAATTATTAGATACAGTTTAATCAAAGAAATACATTATGATATTAATTAAATAATTATTACTTACAATAATATATGATAGTTTCTGTAATTAAATATTTATTTAGGTCAAACATAAATTTTATAAACTTATGTATAAAAAAAAGGGTAGTATAGTGTCGGAGGAGGAAAAACCTCCGGACAAGTGCTCTGATAAATATTACACGTATCACTCCAAACAAAGTGTGCATCAGTTACTTGTATTATATGTTAAAATTTTTATCATCAGAGTGATTTTAACAAATGCAGTAGTGGAACGTATGTTGATGGTGTGCTTGTAATTTTCCTGGAACATGTAGACATAGATCTAACCTCAAAACTGGAAAAGGATGATCATACTATCATAGCAAGAACTATTATTGCCCAATTAAAAATTGAACAAACTAAAGATTTAAAAAAGGAATTACTATCAGAATTAAAAAACAAATCTCAAGAACTTCATGACACCACTTTGATTGACAGTGACACAGAATATGAATTATTTAAAACATAGAATTTACCACTTAAAAAACTGAATAAAGAGATAAATGAAAAAACGCTATTTTAAAATAACTAATAGAATCGCATAAACAAAATCAAGTGTCATTGAGTTACAAACAAAATTGAACTGTAGCAAACATTAACAAAAAGTCTTTTGCTGATGCATTAGGTACAGCAATACCTTAGAAAACAAGAATTTCTAANTGGTTTGTTATAAAATACCTGTGAGATATCATATTTTATCATTTGCGATATAAACTGTTTCGAACAATAGAATTTGCAAAAAAAAAATTTGTTACGGTTAAAATTTTTAGTCTACTGTACAAACAAATGATTGTTACCAGTTATAATAAAACCATAAAAAATTATAGCAGTTTTGGTTCTTAACAAACATCACCCTGGCATGTTGCAAGTATAAATTAGTTCTTTTCTATGACTTTTAAAACTTGAAAATTTAACCCGTGTATGTATATATTATACCTTCAGTGGAAAGTGTTTCTGAAAACTGTGGCTTGAGTGTAATATCGTAAATTGAATCAATCTTGGTAACGTACTAAAAAACATTTTATATTTTTGTGGAAACACCGTTTTTTTGTTAAAGAATTGGAATCTTTAAGGAAGTATATTTTAAGGTGAAAATTGTTTATGAAAACTGTGACTTTGATAAGACATTATAAATAGTCTACATTTCTATAATGTAAAAAAAGATTTTTAATTGATGTGCAAAATTTTTTGTCACAAAACAATATTGTAACTTAAATAGCTTCTATTAACTTAGCTAACTTGTGATTGTATTAAATGTTTTTAATAAATTTAAAATAACAATCAAAAAATTCGAATCAGACAAAAGATGTATTTGGTTGATTAGAAGTCAATATATAAAGAATTTACTTTCTTGCAATTGCACGCTGTTTTGCCTTAAATATTTATTAAAATATTCGTGATGTCATTCTATAACTAATCTAAAAAGTTCAGTCCTTTTTTTTTAAATCTATAACTCGCATTGTACAAAATATTCAGTTCTCATTTTTAATAAAAATGTATTTATAAATCCTTAATACTTGACTTAATTTCTTTTAGAAAAACTTTGGAAAAGTTGAACTCTTCAGAATGCTCTTTGGAAAAATCGTGTTCAGTTTAACAAAAATAGTTGCTTACTGGTGTATTGAAATTATGTTTATTTTTCTCAGTACAATGTGAAGTTACCAGTAATATTTAATGACAACCTCTTATTCGATTTCCTTTTGAAACTTTAATACATTACTTTACTTGAGTTTATACCTTTTTTATCTGCTACAGACTTATACTAGAATTATAATTAATACTCCAGAAAGTTTGTTTTATTCACATTCACATGATTTATCTAAAGGTTGTTAATAGCAGAAATGAAAAATATGCTTATCCATTATTGCTTACGTAAAATTTTACCCGCTAATCCAATCCTTGTTTCGAGTTTGATCGTGTCTAGCTCGCATCGAAGACTTCCACAAATAGAATAAAAATAATCTGGGCCAAAGGAGACAAATTGATTAAAAGCTCTTTTATTCATCAGATGTGGCTCTTTATTATTCTAAAAAACTATACTACTGAAGGTCCTGGGGTTCTAAAAGAAATTCATTTTAAAAACGAGACCTTTTGAGAGATGAGAAGCTCCCAATATCAAAATCCAGCTATAAGAAAAATTCCACATGTAACAATTAAAAAAAAAAAAAATTGTTTTCGTCTTTTAAAACACAAATAGCTATTATCCAACTATTAAATCCTAAGAATTAAATATATTTAAATAAAGTTTTACAGCTGTATAATACTTAATTATGATAGTTGTCGAACCAAAAGTAATAAAAAAAAGTTATGTAAATTAAGCTTAATTTCTTAAGTTTTTTGAATTTTTTTTACAAAGAACCATAAATAACACAGATTTGTAAAAAAAAGCTTTTTTTATGATTACATGTAAATAGCTGCATCCAATGCAATTTAGTGCGCTGAAACCAAACCCGTAATCAGAGTTAGCCTATTACGTCAAGATTTTGAGTTAATTAACCTCAATGTTCAAAAATATACATTTTTACGTGTTTTTGAGGTTATACTGTATCTCGAATTTTTTTTTTTTTCCTTAGATAATACTATCGTATGTTATAGCTCTCCCTTTACAATTTCCATTTTCAACATTCCTGGTACGATTATTTATCTCTAAGTTACGAAAGTTTTAATGCAAGTCCCTTTTCATGTATTGATCTGTCAACTGGATAAAAGTTGTGTTCAAAATTTTATAAGTCGAAATAAAATTTTTATAGGTACACACTTAAGCTTAGTTAATACGCTTCTTTTGACATCGGACTTCTTTCTAAATTTCAGAATGGTGGACCAATATAGTAGTTGCAGATAGTTAAAACCATTCTAAGTTAGCTCTTCCACTTGATTTTAAATAATTTTAGACGTCCAACAATTTCCATTGAAGTCTCAAAATATATATATTTTTGATTACTAATTAAAAACTTATACCCATTTTTTATTAAAAACATCACTGATTTCTTTTAACTTCAAAGAACTTCAAAAGAAAAACAGTTAGGCCTATTCTCTGATCGCTTTGGACCTCAAAAAATC